ACCCGGGGGTTCTTCAAGAGGAGGTTAGATAGGCATCTAGCTGGAGTCATCTAAACCCAGCCCTCTTTCCTGCCAATGCAGGGGGTCGGACTCGATGATCTGTTGAGGTCCCTTCCGACCCTAACATCTATGAATGTGCTACCAGGTACTCCTGTATTAGCACAAGCAAACCTCTCTCCTTCCCCTGCCAGATGGAGGTCAGGGGTGCAAGCAACTTTTACCACATCTCAGTGAAACAGGTTGCATGTGTGTTGACTACATCTACTGCATCCCCAGCAGCTGGGTGGATCAGAGGGAAACTGGGGCTGGGGCAGGTCTTTCAAATGTGGAGTAGTCCCTGCCCACTGCATATGGGATCCTAACCATCTGCCTCCACATCCAAACCCTGTACTGCCAAGATCGGAGACCTGTGCCCTACATCTCATTCCACAGTTTCAGTCCAGGACTGGGTGGAGGAGAAGGGTTTGGTCTTCTCTTATCTTTTCCTTCTATATGAATCCCTGATTTGTAGATTAGGTTCTTCTCTCTCTCACCTACTTCCTGGCTTTCAACTGTGTGAGCACACCCTGTTCTGCACTGGGCTGCACTGAAGTTAGGCAGCCCCGACTCTGTAATAACAAGATCTTCTAGGGGCAGTGAGATAGTAAAGGGACATGTCACACACTGAATCTTATTAAAGAACTGCTGTACCCAATCAGATAGGCTGACCAATAGATCTCAGGTAATCTGGTCAGTGCTATCCAATATCTTTCCTAATGGTCTGGAAGAAAATACAAAACTAGTGTAGATAGACTGGCAGGGGGAGAAGCACTGATGGGGACAGGTCAGTGACATGAAGCAATTGGAACCTGTTGGTTCACTGGGCCCATGTGGACAATGGACATTTCAGCGTAGTCACAAGGGCCTAAATCAAGGAAGAATGGAGATCAGTCACATGTGCAAGGTGCAGGGACAGTAACCTAAGAAGTAGCAATGCCGGGGCCCTGGCTGGAAGCCAGCTGAACAGGATGCCCTGTGTGACACTAGCAAGGACAGTGACTGGGATTGTGGGTAGCAGTCTACTGACCTCAAGGTGGCTGCCACCTGATTCTGTGGGCAGATCCCATGGCCAGCAGTCATTTTTGAGCACCTAGACTGGTCAAGGCCGGACCCCAGTGCCTGGCTCCTTGCCACTGACTAGCTGTGAGGACTGCCTGTCATGCAGCCCCACTCCCACACCACCAACTGATAGAGAGGGATGGGGTCATATGATGGACAGCCCTCATAGCCATTCAGCAGTGAGAAGCAGGAGCAGCAGCAATCTTGCTATGCCAGCAGCCTCCTCCCCCCATGAGCTGTATGGCTGGGCCACAGTGGTTAAGAGACCTGCTGGCTCCCCAGAGGGAACCAGCATTTTATTTTTGGCAAGCTGGGAGTTTTTTTCCAGGGACTCTGGGCTTTTTCACAGGGCCCACCTGAAATCAGTTTCCATGAAAATTGTGCAATCGCCATTTCAGTACATCCCTAATCATGGGGCAGTCCCTGCAGTCTAATGTTGGGTCAGTGCATAAGATCCATCCCCTCTGCACAAAGCACTGGAGAAACAGGTACTGGACACTGCATCCACGTCACAAATGATGTGGAAATGTGCAGAGAATTCAGATTGAAGCGACAGTTACTCAAGATTCGGAAACCTGCCATATGCAAGGTCACTCCAGGGGGTTTGGACAGAGATAGGTTACAGAGCACTAGAACGCAGTAGCTGCGTGTGCTGTGAGGGCACAAAGAATCCCAGAAGGCAGAACATGATCCAGGATCTGGTGCTGAAGCATCTCTTCCCCAGGACTGTGCCAGAACACTGGGCCATAGAATAGGCTGTGTTCAGAAGGACTGATGAGGAGGGAAGGGGGCTTTTCACCCCTGGTCCAAGCTGGACTCCTGGGCAGCCATGAGACCAAGATTCATGAAGCCAGGGGAAGAACAGATTGCGCATGACAACAGCGCCTCAGAGGGAAAGTCCTGTGTTCTAGCCCCTGGGCCAGGGCTATTTTGGCTTTTAATCAATGACTCATGTTGAACACAAGAACAGCCCTAGGAAGGTGGACCAGGATTTTCCCCCTCTTCAGCCCCATGAACCCAACTCAGTTCACAGGAAGCTGGACACTTACACAAGTGGGCTCAATGGAAAAAAGGCACTTTACTGCAAACCTAGAGCATCCAGGGCTCTGACCCACAGGAGCCAGCACTAACAAAGGAAAGCTTGTTTGCTCTAGTCTCTCCCCTATCCAGTCTCAGCCCCCAGCAAGAGCAGCTCAGGACTTCTGGGTCACCACCTGAAACTTGCCTGACAGAAAGAGAAAGCAGGAAAGGTATGCTGCAGTCTGTCCCAAAGCTGAGGATGAGAAGGGGCAACACTCCCATGTTGCAATGCCCCAGCAAGGAGCATGCACCAGGCAGATCTCAGATGTGTAGCCCAGCTCATTCCTGACCTCCCTCCAGGTGCTGCCAGCCAGAGGGCTCCATCAACACCAATGACAGCAACAGCTCTGTGACCAGGGCCCTGTTTACCAAGAACTGGCCTGGGATCTTACATCTCCCACCTTTGTTCCACAGAGCAGTGTTCAAGTAATGATAGACCCAAGCGATCCTAGCCCACTGCACTGGGACAGAGGCCTGCCGAGTAGCAGGGAATACAGAACAAGGTGTTCACCAGGTCCCACCCAACTGGGCCAATAGCTCATACCCAGGCTCATGAGCCCTTTTCACTGGCTCCAGACACTGCTGCATCAGCAGCACTTTGCATCTGACTGGGTCTCGGCTCCTCATCCCTGCCCCACACTACTCACAGGATGGCAGTCACATTGTCACTGATGCCCAAGCTGGAGAAGGCTCCTTTCATAAAGTGATACATGAAGTGAGAAAGTAGACAAGAGCAGAGAGCTAGTCAGTGTGAGGAACACAGGGAAACAGGAACTGGCTGAGGCCTGGGACAGGGCCCTGACTAGGGCTTTACACACCAGGACTTGCCTGCTAGGGAGCCTGTCCTGGGCCAGCTACAAATGGGATTATCCCCACATTTGTTGACTCACAGGCAGAAGGGTCCTGTTATCAGACACCTATGGGGGGGGAGTATAGGGGGGAACTGTGCTGCAATTATGTCCCTGTGCCTGCCCTCCTATTGAACTGGGTTTGGCTGGAGCAGTCATGCTCAGCCTCTGAGAGCCAGATCCAGTCCACAGAGGCATGTCATCTGGCCCATGGGCTGCTCCTGGGTCCAGATCTTGATGGCATGGGAGCAGCAAAAAAAGTTTGGGGAGCGCTGAGCTGAAATGTTTTCCAGAAAGGCAGCAAGTGTTAATTTGAAGACACCCAGAGACGGGGAACCCACCAGATCCCTGGCAGTGAGCTGCAGTGGTTAATCAGCCCCACTGGTTACACATGCCCGGTGTCAGTTTCCAGCCTTCTGGTACCTGTAATAACCTTCCCCTCCACATGAAAGAGCTCACCAGGATTTGAAATCCACAAAGGTACTTATGTTACCTCTGAATCTTAACCACCCTAAAGAAATGATGACCCCGAAGTGCCATCTTGGAGCCAGCTTCTTCCAGCTCCCAAAGCAACTCTGCAATTCCTGCCACACCTTCCCCAGGTTTTCAGCATCCTTTTTAAACATGGACACTGACACTAGATGCAGTGTCCAAACCCTGGTCTCACCAGTGCTGGGAACACATAACACCCACCTCCTGCCCCTACTGAGCCAAAACACACCGGATACTTGCATGTGCATTTGTTACTTCTTCCAGAGCCGAGCTGCAAGTGCAGCAGGGCCTGACCTCTCTACGGGCCTGGGAGCCTAAAGCAGGGGGAGCAGGCCAAGGGGGAGCACAGGCAGTTTCACTTACTGCACTGAAGCAACACAGGGATCCCCGGGTGCCCCCAGAGCAGGCCAAAGGCTCAGCCCCAGCCCCAGCCCCAACCCCAACCCAAGGTCCTTCCGACTTAGCAAAGGCGACTCCAACTTGAGGAGCTAGGAGCCAAAGGCGGCGGCAGCGAGACCGAGAGCGGCGATGCCCACAGGCGACAGCGGACCCCAAGCAGCACCCCCCGAGGTCCGGGCACTTCTGGGTGGTGTCACATGACCGCCCACGTGACGGGGTAGTCCTCAGTCACGTGACATTAGCTCACCTCTGGTGGCAGGAACTGCTTCCCACGCCTCTCGCCTGCCCGCAGGAGCTGCCCGAGCCCCCGGCGCGGCTCGGCCCAGTGGTGATGTCCGCTCCCCGGGGCGGCGCACTGGTCCCGGGAGAGGCCTCGGAGACGGACTCGGAGGCGGAGCTGGAGCTGGAGCTGGCGGCGCCCCGGGCCTCCCGGCCCTGCCTGCGCGGGGTGAAGGTGCCCGGGGAGGCCTCGGAGACGGACGACGAGGACGAGGGCGAGCGCGGGGCG